TCAAGCACTCTTATCAACTAAGCTGCTGAACCCACTTGTGAGCAAAGCTTCAAAAATTACTTTTTGATGCTGTTTTGCAGGGTCTGGCTGTATAGTTTAGGCTGCTCTTCAATTGCCTATTCTTGCCTTTACCTTTTTTAGTCCCAGGATTTATTATTGTGAGCTACCCAACTAGGCAGGGTTGGTTACTTATTTTGCTTTTTTCTGCTATATGTGTTGTGTGCTATTCTTGTGCACAAAATGGAATCTACTAAGTACTTTTACAGGCCACATGAAGACACTTGAGTAAACATTTTCCTGTCACAAATTATTACAAACCAACTCAATTCAAAGTACTAATATACTACTTAAAATTTACTCGATAGATTTTTTTTTTTTTGCTTTTTTCCTAGTTTTTTTTTTTTTTTTTTGCTTTTTTCCTAGTTTTTTTTTTTTTTTTGTGTGTGTGTACGGGTTTATATCTACAGGTGGTATGTTTTTGTATTATGTGTGCACAGGTATCTGCATACATATGGATGCTAGAGGTCAGCCTTCAATGTTGTTAATGAGGAGTCATTCACACACTGATTAATATACTAGTATTCGCAACATTTTTTGTATTTATTATTTATTTGTGTAGGGAGTCAGAGTTGTGTGCCATGCTGTAGTGCACATTTGGGGGTCAGAATACAACTTGCACAGATTGTTTTTCTCCTTTAAGGATGTGCTTTCCATGGATCTAACTTAGATGGTCAGACATGGCAGCAAGTTCACTTGCCCACTGATCCAGCAATCCCCAATGAATAGTCTTTTTTTCTCCCCATTTCAGCAACTGGGCTACAGGTTTGTGTAGAACACCCGGTTTGTGGTGTAGGTTCAGGGATCCGAACTCTTGTTTTCATGCTAGTACATCAAATACTCTAAATTCTTAGCTATTTCTCTTAACATATGGGATCTTTTCTGAAATTCTGGGAGTCTAGCTCAGACCCTGAAGATTACATAGAAAATGGTTACAAACTGAGAACTCTCCTGCCCTCCTAGCAGAATGTCTAAATATTTTCAATATTTCTATTTCCATTTTCTTGTCTAACCAGTAGGGTATTTTTTAGCTTTGTACACAGGAACTCAAATAGTTTGATAGGAATGATTAGGGGTTTATCATTGCCAAACCTTTTTTTTTTTCTTTTTTTCTTTTTTTAGGAAATACATTTTAAATCTTTTTCTTTTAGTTTCATGGTACATTCCTAATTTGTGAACATAGATACCCTGTCTTATTATATTTTTTCTTATATTTCAATTTAAACATTGCTGTATTTATTTTCTTTTGTATTTTGAGGCAGATTATCCTGAATCATACTGTGTGATTCAGGCTGTACTGAAACTCACTATGAAGCCCAGGCTGGCATCAAAAGTCAAGCCTCCTGCCCCAACCTTTTTTAAGTTTTGTTCATTAATGTATTATTTTATGTGTGAGTGTTCTCCCTGCATGTATACCTGCATGCCAGAAGAGGACATCAGATTGAATTATAGATTGCTTTGAGCCACAATGTGGTTGCTGGGAATTGAAGGCAGGACCTCTGGAACTGCCAATGTTGTTAACCACTGAACCATCTCTTCAGCTCCTGTTTCAACCTTGTAAGTGTTGAGAGTATAGATATGAACCTTTATGCCAGGATCATTTCATGGAGGAACTGTTTTCATTCATTAGGCTTGGTTTCTAAGAAAAGTCTCATTTAGACAGGTGTTGGTGGTGCACGCAGCCTTTTAGTCCCAGCTCTCGGGAGGCAGAGGCAGGTGGATCTCTGTGAGTTTGAGGCCAGCCTGGTCTACAAGAACTAGTTCCAGGACAGCCTCTAAAGTCACAGAGAAGAAACCCTGTCTCAGAAAAGCAACAAAAAACAAACAAACAAAAAACGAAAAGTCTCATTTAGTCCACACTGGCCTCAGACTACCAGTGTAGGTAGGATGACTTTGAGTTCCTCATTCTTCTGCTTCTAACAAGTGCTGAGATGTCAGATGTGCACCATACCTGCATCATCTATGACTGTAATATGACTATGATATGAAATATTTATGAAATCACAGGTACTTAACTTATATAATGTAAACAAATATAGCATTAATGCATATGGTCTGGGCAGAGCTTGGGACACAGTGAATTTCTAGTGACCATGAGACTCTCAGAT